GGGTTAGGGTTAGGGTTAGAGTTAGGGTTTGGGTTGGGGTTAAGGATATGGTTAGGGATAGGGTCCAGGTTAAGGTTAGAGTTATTGTTAGTTTCAGGGTTAGGTTTAGTTTTAGTGTGAATATTAAGTTTAAAGTTAGGGTTAGTGTTAGATTTAGGGAAACGTTTATGGTTAGGGTGAGCATTACTGTTAGAGATAGGATGAAGATTGTGTCCAGGGTTAGAGTTAGTTGTAGCAATAGGTTCAGGGTTAGAGTTAGGTTAGGTTAAGAGTTCTGGTTAGGTTAAAGTTTAGATTTAGAATTGTGTTTAGAGTTAGGGTTACAATTAGTGTTAGGGATTAGGGATAGGTTTATCTAAAGGTTTTTTTTAGGGTAGGATTAGGGTTAGGATTAGGGTTAAGGTGAGCATTAGGTTTAGGGTTAGGGTTTGCATTAGGATTAGTGTTAGGGTCAGGTTAGGGTTTGGGTTACTGTTAGGGCTAGGGATAAGGCACAGTTTAGAGTTAGGGTTATGTTTAAGATTATATTTGTGGTTAGCATTAGGGTTAGGGTTATGTTTAGGTTTCAAGTTAGTTTTAGGTTTAGGGCTAGAGTTACATACAGGCTTAGGTTAGGGTTAGAATTAGGGTTATGGTTAAGGATAGGGTTAGGGATAGGTTTAGAGTTAGGGATATGGATAAGATTACGGTTTGGTTGAGGGTAGAAATTTGGGTTATATTTAGGGTTACTGTTAGGGTAAAGGTTAGGGATAGATTTAGGTTTCAGGTTAGGTTTGGGGTTATCATTAGATTTAGGTTTGGGACTAGGGTTAGGGTTATGGTTTGGGTTACAGTTAGGGTTTTGGATAGGTTTAGGTTTAGGTGTAGTATTGCTTTTATGGTTTGGGTTAGTTTTAGGATTATGGTTAGTGTTAGTGTTAGGGTTAAGTTTAGGGTAATGGTTAGGGTAGGGTTAGGGTTAGGGATATGTTTATGGTTAGGGTTAGAGTTATGGTTAGGGTTAAAGTTAAGTTTAGGGATAGGTTTAGGTAAGGTTCATGTTTTGGGTTACAGTGAGGGTTATGTTAAGTTTAGGGTTAGGACTATGGTTTGGCTAACGTTAGAGTTTCGGTTAGGGACAGTGCAATGGTTAGGGCAAGGATTAACCTTAGATTTATGTTAAATATTACATTTAGGGTTAGGGTTAGGATTAGGTTTAGTTTTAGGTTTAGGTTAGGGTTAGGTCAAAGGTTAAGGATAGGGTTAGGAATAGGATTACAGTTAGGTTAGGGTTAAGGTTGTGGCTAGGTACAGGGTTACAATTAATGTCATGGTTAGGGTTACAATTAGGGTTAGGGTTAGGGTTAGGTTTTCAGTTAGGATTAGGGTTAGGATTAGAGTTAGGTTACAGTTAGTGTTAGGGATGGGGTAGGTTTAGGATTACTGTTAGGGTCAGGTTAGGATTCAGGTTAGTGTTAAAGCTAGGGTTAGAGCAAGGGTTAGTGTTAGGGTTAACGGTTAAGATTATGTTTAGGGTTAGCATTAGGGTTAGGGTTGTTTAGGTTTCAGGTTAATTTTATATTAAGGGGCAGGGTTAGG